AACGACTTGAAAGCAGAGCTTGCATAACTGTACAAAATAGCTTAACGCAAGCATGAGACTCTGTGCCCATTTTGGAATAGAAGGCCTGACCATAGGGGGATACATCAATTAAAATCACTTAGTCTTGTTTTAAAGATAGCCTAAAGTCGTTTAGAGAAACGTTAAAGATGGAGCATATGATTCTTCATCCATTTGTTTCATAAAATATTAACAAGTTAGAAAATTATGTTCGCTCGCGATCGAATCTTCTGTAGTCACTATCATTAACCGTCGTATAAATTCGTGACATCTACGGTAAAGTTGTCGCATACTCAAAGTTCTGTCATTTGCTACCCATATCAACGTAATAGCGAAGAATAAATTAATTGTGACCTGTAGTTGACATTTTGTACTCTTGCCCGCGAAATTGCACTATATATTTACAAATTTTTGGATAATTTCTGAAAGTATATCTTCAAGAACTAAAGATGGTATATTGAGGTTTCTCCTTTGTCCGAAATTATGATATACAATCACATTTTTCGGAATAATTCCTATAACTTTCACCTTTCAAGTGCAGACAGACAGATAGATGACATATGGTCAGACGATTTGGTTCGCATTTTCATCTTCTTCTCGTCCGAAATAATCATATACATTTAATAATGTTGACATAATTCCTGCAACTTGCACGCTCTCCACAACAAACGAACAGACACACTTTGCTGAACTGAGTGCAATAATATTTGAAGCAAGAGATTATGCTGGCGCTGACGTTGATAAAACGTCGTTTGCTTTAGTTTGGAAACTTTGAATAAAAATTGGTAAAATGATAAAAGTAATAAGGATTAGTTTTTTGTACTACTCTTTTTGTATAATATAAGATCTTCTTAAGCAAAATATAAACGATATTTTCGAATAGACTGAATATACTTTGCACATAGTCTAGCTGTTGCACTAAGAGAACGAAATTTGATGGACGCAACAAAAGATTGCATTTTTTGTAGGATATGAATCTACTTGATAGGCGTCCAAGATTCATATGAAACCGAATCTAGTTTTCTGATTTGTTACGTTGTAACGTTTATGTAGTTCAATGATTTATTTTATTTGTTTTTTTAATTTGTTTCCCACACAAATGATTCGTTGTAGTGCAAAGAACAAATTGTTTAGAAAAAAAATAAAATAGTAAATAAAATAAAAAAACCAAAAAAAAAAAAAAAAAAAAAAAAAAAGGCAAATTAAAACTAATAATAAATAAAATATATTGTCAGCTTTATATCAAATAAATATTCCTTTTCGAAAGGTAAGTAAGCTGAACATAAGCGTTAAAAATTTTGCACCGAATCGCATTAAAATTTTATTTATATTTATTTAGTTCTTAGTTGCAGTTTATTTTATTTAAATGTTAAATTATTTTTGTAATATTATTTTAGGTTTTTTTTGCTTTTAATTTAATTTCAAAATAACTGCAAACAATAGTTAATCCGTAGATATGCAAACAGATGTTAAGGTTAATAACTTAGTTTATTGGTATTTTGGGTATAATTTATATTCAGTCAACTCAAGCCAAACTCGAACACCGTAGTAAAGAACTTTCGTTGGCAAATCTAGCGTAGGTGAAATAATACAAAAATGCTTGTTATCCGATATTTGATTATATTATATATCAATGTTTTGAAATCAATCAGACTAGCAAGCTACTAAAAAAAATAATTCATAAACCAAACGCGGACAGCATTGTTTTTTATCATCATTTTTCGGCCTGGTTGGTATGGATTGGAATAATTGTTTTGCAATAGTCAGGTGGTATTTTTTACCATTCTTACTTTAAGACCTTTTTTAGCTTTGGTGGAAGCCATGTGTTATTGAACCACAAATGTTCTATCGGATTTATGTCATTGTTTTGGGGGAGTGTTTCCAGTCGTGGGGTATGTCGCACAGCAGCCAAGACCTGTAGACTATGTGTGTTCAATCATTGTCCTAATAAAAGTACCAGTTAACATTAGGGTTCAATTTATCCACACTTGCAAAGATAATTGTCCTCCTGCAGAAAATGAGCTTGAAACCAGCACTGATCTACACACATATTTTACAGTCGACCTTAGGTTATTCAAGCGAAGTTCCTGATTTTGATTTTTCCAAACAGTAGGTTTGCCATCAGACCCAAAGACGTTAGATTTGCGTTCGTCGGTAAAGAAAACATTTTTCCAGAGAGAAAATCTTAATTTTCATACTCTTTTGCATATTGCAATCGAGTAATTTGATTACGCGTACAAGCAAACGGCTTTCCTCTTACTTCCCTATCAGAAATAACTGCTTTGCGACAAACATTTCTTATTGCAGATGTGCTTGCTTTTTCAGCTATTGACGCATGTTTTGATACACTTAAAAAGGGATCTGCTTGCATTTTCTTATGGGCTTTTTCTGGCTTATTTTCAACCATGCAAACACCATCTCAGAAGCAGAGTTAAAACAGGTCTTAAAGTAACAATGGGAAAAAATACCACTTGACCAAACTGGCCTACAGTGATTATGAAGAAATATTCACTTATAAGATATAGTAACAAATCTTTGACGCCGACCGCGTTTGATTTTCGCATTGTTTCTTGACTAGTCTGTTTAATCCGATGAATTTAAAAACCATGAGTTCAAATTTTGTTTCCTGTCTTCGGTAAGATAGTAAATATGCAATCGAAAAACAAATAACAAGCATTTATGTGAATTTTGCTACAGTGTCCATGTTTGCCTTGAACTAACTGTAGTTAAGGATCAATTCCACCGTACTGCTGGGTACTTCTTGATGTAAATTATAGTTTTGCATTAAATTCCTATCATATGTAAGATTTGATGCAATAGTTTTTCAAATATTCCTCAAAAGATTTTAATAAAATATGTTAAACAATTGCAAAGCATGGAAATAAATATCGAAAAATCTACAAATCACGTTTATGAGGACGGGAAGGACAGCGAGAACGAATTCATCATCTCTCATCCCAGTTTGTCTGCTCGCCTATAGTAAACACCATTATGGCCATGTGAATCTGAAATCGTTTCTTTTTTTTTTTTTTTAATTTATATCCGGATAAAATGGATAAAACGAATCGAATTCAAATCGGTTTTTAGGTTCGTCAAGCAAAAGCAATTGTCAAATTTCGAATTCTATAGCAAAATCCCTTATATATCAAACTTTGGATTATCTACGCATAATTCTTTATGAAAATTTCCTGTTGCTGAATTTGGCAGCAAAGTCACCCTTCGCATCGTCGTTTGTTAGGTGAAAAATATATATTTTATGCGGAAATTCGTGCAATGCCTGATGTATGTTACTGTCAGTCATATTGTGGATATGGAAAAGAAGAGAACACCTATTCTCGACGCATTCCGTAAAGCTATACGGACGAAGTGCTTCAAGCGCTGCGTTAGAAGTCACTTGAAAAAATTTCTATTTGGGAATTTTTGACATTCGAACCGCCAGTCGAGATAATAATTGAGCTTGACGGCTATAGAGAATGAAAGTAATTTCAATCTTTATAAACACAGCAATTGCAAAGAGAAACATTTCCATACGCTATCTAGCTATCAGAGAGGAGTTTTATTTTGACAGTTTTTGAACTGTCTTTATACTCCAAAAGTTGACAAATTGACAGCGCTTAGCCCGTTTCAAGGCAATTATGATATTTCGGTATACTAAAAAGACTTGGTTCTGTAGTTTCTGATCGGCTTTTAAGCGACTATAAAAACCGGGATTAAAAACAGCATTGATCAACCAACTATTTTGAGATTTTTTTCAGATGCTTAGTATAATAAGTAACTTTGCCTATGATGCATAGAGAACTCGTTTACGACCACAAAGTTGATCAACCAACTGCACACTAAATAAGTACGTTTTTCAAAGCATTTGAAATCGGTTATAAACTCAAAATTGACCAAAATCTTTTCCCGAGATATTTTCGGAAGCTTGGTATGATAAATACTCTTCATTCTTGTTATGACAGAAATAGGATGTAGCCTCCAAATTGACCTTGAGTTGTTTTCCGAAGTTTAATGACAACATTCTGTTGATAAAATTGACCAAACAACTCTTTTAACATATTTCCGTAGGCTTCATGAAGACACTTGATTCTAATGATTGCAGTCATGGCAGCGGTAAACGGACAAACTGCTCGACTGCTTCGACGTATTTTCGGAAGCTTAATGTGATAAATGTAACACCGAAAAGTCACATCAAAATTGACCAATCAACTGTTTTGAAACGTTTACAAAATCTTGGTAAGCTTTCAGCGGACTTTTGACTTGGACCCGACAGAATGTGTTTGAAGATATCTTTGGAATCTTGGTATGGTAACCAAACAAGCGTTTGCGTACTAAATTAGATGCCGTTTCGAAATTATTTGCGCGTTTTTTATTTATGTTTAGGGCAGAATGTCGCGAGAATTTAACTGACAAACACCTATCGCTTTATGTGACCTACGTACCGTTCGAGCTGCAGGGTCAACTCATCTTTATTATATATACAAACGAAAATTCGTTGAATGAGACATAGTCATGTGCTCGAAGAAGAAATCTATTCTTCTTTATACATTTCAATTTTACATCTAAATTCTTGCAATGAAAATTTGTAGTCTTATTTTTGTGGGTCCGTTTTCTCTTCGGCAATATTTGGTGGCAATTTTGTTTATGACACTACGCAGTATAGTGTATTTTTCTAGAATAGATTGCTTATACTTCCATAGCATGTTACGTTATGGACAGTGCTGATGTACACGTTAGTGATGATATTTATCTACTGATTAATTTTCAAGCAAAAGTAAAGGAGACTGAGTATCATACCTTTCTTATTATTGTTAATTGAGAGAAATGAATAATGTTAACTTTTGTAAAATGCTTCTCTAGGTAGTGTGCAGAGAGTATGTGTGTGTGCTTTATTTTCTCTTAAACCATTCATATCAATTCCATTAATTCCATGCTTGTATAGCATTTAAGGAATAATAATAAACTAATAATTTGTATACTTTCAGGTTTGGGTTGTGAAAATGCCAGTCTAACGTCAGCCTCACCTGCCGTAGCAGAGCACAACTATAATAATATTTTGATAAATACATTGGTGCTGGCAACAATTATTATCACCGCTTATCAATATCAATAAAACTGGAAATTTTGAAATTAATAAATACTCTTTAGTTTAAATAATAAGTAAAAAAAAAAAAATAAACATAAAAGAACAAATCAAGAGAAACACAAAATATAGAAAAGAAATTGTATTCGCCAAGCACAAAAGCAGAAGAAAACCTGTAGTATTAATAAGCAAACAAATAAATCTTTGATTTAAAAAGAAAGCAAACAAAAAAAAAAAATAAATAAATTAGAATATATAAAAAAAAAAAAAACAAAAAAATCCCAAATGTAAGCAAAAATTGCTACAGTTTTTGAATTATTGAATAATTTTAAAAGTGAAAACTAAAGCATTGAAGTTTATTAAGTGTTGCCGTTACAAAAAAAGAAAAACAAAAAAAAAAAACATATCAATTGAAATTTAATTTTTTTTTTATACATACATATATATGTAGAATGTATCTCGTAGAGATATTGCTTGAAGTATTTTTTAAGTAAATGGTTAGTATCACTAAGAGAGGGGCACAGGTTTTTTTTTTCTTTTTGAAAGCTGCCCCTCTCCGTCTCTCTCTCTCTCTCTCTCTCTCTATCCATCCCTCTCCCTCTCTATCTCTCTCTCTCTCTCTCTCTTCGGAAACCGCAAACACATAATTGTAGTTAGCTTGGTTTTGGTTTTGCTAATATTCCCCTGCCGCCCTCCTCCCCCTCCCCAAAGAGAAGAATGAAAATACCATATAAAAATGAAAAATCAATATCATATGATCAAAGAGTAACGGAACTTAAATCCGTTAAGGCAAGTATTACGTTAAAGTTAAACCATATTTTCGATCTGCCAAATAAACATTTTTTAAATGAGTGCAAACGAATAAAATTCATTCAATTTTATTCGTATGATTTGTTGTAAAATTTAAAGAAATTGGTAATATTTTAATATTCCCGGTACTTTTTGATCATAGTGTAAGCAACAAAACCTAATTAGTATTTGTTCTGATTATGATATTACAACGTAAAAGACTAGTAAAAATGATATTTGTGTAAAAACAATTTGCACACAAACAATAATTTGTATTAAAAAAAAAGAAGAAAAAATGAAAAACAAGAAAAATTTAATAAAAATTCTGACCCAGTTTTGTATTCATTTTAAATTAGAGAACAAAAAAGAAAAACAAACATAAATAAATAAATTTGATAAAGAGTAGTAGTATTATGATAAATTGCTTACATACAACTACGGAAAAAGAAATTTGCATACAATTACATAATTTTTCATTATTTCATTAATCTGCAATTACCGTCATTGATGGCATTTCGAGGTTTTTGATAAATTATAAGAAAAAAAAAAGAAAAAAAAAAGGGGAAAAAATTGCGTTAAAAAAATTTAAAAGTAAAGTTTCAATGATAAAAAGTGAATCTTAAGGCGCGTTACAGTCATGCGATTTTTTCTTTCTACGGACGACAGATGGGCTTTGCCATCTCCTTTTTGAGACTCAGATGTGTTTATAAGAGATCATAAAATGGGTGTTTATAAGTATTTCAAGTCGCGTTAGCTTACAAGCATTTATCGGTTGAATTTAACAATAGTGTTAATACTTGCTTTTTAAGAAGCTTAAAATACATATCCTTGACATATCCTACGTATCGATTATGGGTCTGCGAGATGGATAAGCTAGCTCATCTGTTCGTCTGATGTTAAATAACACAAGTATTAAGATAAAAAATTGAAGAAGAAAAAGCCTAAAAAAACCAGAGGCAGCTTTGAAAAGGTGACATTTCAATCCGAGCCCCAGTTACTGTTGTAAGAAAATGCAAATTTCTGCGGCTATTATAATCACAAATATTTCCGATCGCCTGGAGATTTAAAAAAAGAATTAAAATATCAATTAAGTTAAGTGAAAATGCTTTTGCAAGTTAATCATTTGGGTCCTTGGGCCCTGGACCACTGACCTTGAGAAATCGATTGCATAATAGTTTGTAATTTAAACACAAAAAACCTGAAACCAGATCGACTAATACCCGCCGGCGCACTTCAATTCTTCTGTGAGGTCTTTTGCTATCTCGAAATTTTTCACTTAGGCTGCCCATCAGCGAATTATTAAACACTTAACGACCGTACATTATAATGATATTGCCTTCAAGCGGTTATATTGTTATTTAGTCAGCAATGACTCGCTATTTATTTTCAAACGTTTATAACGGGGCCATATTTAATTGAGCAAAGATAAAGCGCAATCCTAAGAAGCTCCTACTACTTGTGATCGATCATTTATTGTAGCATCAGATTCGAGCAAAACAATCCTGTTTTTATTCACTTTCTGCCGTAAGGGTCGTCACTTAGTTTCGACTTTTTATGGAGATACTCTCTTTAAGCCGATTAAACATACATTTATCTAACATAGTACATCTAATCTAGTTTAAGTGGATTGTTGTCTCTTTTCTACTGTTATCAAGATATGACCGGCGTATAGCGGATCACTCCTTGTTAACGACTGCTTATGGTGGCTTTATTCTTGCGTTAAATGGCTCGCGAGTTGTCTTGCGTGGTTTATGGCGGAAAAATTTGTGACCCCAATAAATTTCTGATTATTTCATCTGCGTCCAATGGAATGCTTGATGGTTTCCGGCACACACGTGTACGTACCGCTAACTGTTGCTGCTAGTCGTTGCTACTTTTCTACTTTGAATTATGCTAACATATGATTATCGAATCAACGTTTAATAGATCGCCGTTCATTTTCATGCGTTTATCGCGGCAATGTATTCGGGCCAAGCAATATATATGAATATGGTTATCCAGTGTACATATCGGAGGGCGTTGCTTGCTTTCAGCTGCCTATAGCCACGCAAATATATGATTATTTAAAGTATGTCTAATGGACCGCTGTTTGTTTCTCAGGTTGCGCAAACATTAGTTATCCCAACTGCTTTCAAAGGATCAGTACTTCTTTTCGATTGTTTATGACGACATACATTTTGCGCTAAAAGGATTGTTGCTTGTTTCTGAAAATTTATGACCGAAGGGTTTGCGAATGAATATCCCCGCTGCTGTCTATTTGTCTTGGACCGTTTATAGCGGCGATAAAGTATACACAATACCTAAATATTTCTCACCTTATAGGCTTAAATTAATTTGAGGACACTTTGTCTCTGCCAGAGATTATCAAGTAAGCATCGTTAGGAAAATCAGATATAGTTAATATTTTCATAAAGTTTATATTTGAATGACATTTTCGTGCTAACGCAAATCAAAGTTTCTACACATATCTCATGCGATTTATTTTATAAAGATTTATGCTTTGCTCGAAATGCAGTTCTTGGTTACGGTATAGAAAATAAATTTTAAGGTTCGAGGTTAACGGCGGTAAATAAATCACCAGAAAAATATATAAATGTTTGCAAATTTTTTTTTTTAAAAACAGTTGTATGTGTTTTTTTTACTCCTCTCCAAGAAGTATTAAGAAAATAACATGAAATTTTTTGATATACAACACGAAGAAAAAGAAAAGAACAAGAAAAAATAAAAAACAAAACAAAACTCACTTATATGACAATTGATGAGAATCCTAAAATAATTTTTTTACGTGCTTTGTAAAATGAGAATTTTTTAATACCTAAACATAAAGACCCTAACAGCCCTAATGGAATATATATATATATATATATACATATATATACAAATATACAAAAAAAAAAGGATATAAACGTAAACTAGTGAAATATTTTCTATGTAGTTCCCTCCCCATTTTCCTAAAAACTACTAGTAATAAATATAATAAAACTAATAACGCAACGATATTAAACAAAAAAAATAAATAAATAAACAGAAATATTTACTATAACAAAACATACTATTAGAAAAGAGAAGAAACACACCTTCACTCACATAGTGACACAAACACACACACACACACACAAAAGCGCTCGCGCTAGCGCAAGCATATACTCCAACACACATACACATGTAAGTATATTAAGTATAATTAAGTGTAAACATTTGTGTATGTGTTAGTATTTATTATTAAGCAGTAAATGAATTCAAAACCAAAAAAACAAAAAACAAATCGAACAAATATTTTTGGTTTAATACTTAGATTAATTAAATATTCTTATTTTGTTCAATTTATTTAATAACTTTTGTGCCCATCATTTAACACCTGAAGAAAGGTATATTAATTTTACGAAAACATTTGTTACATACGCAAAAGCACGCTTTAGAAAGTCCGTAAAGATGTTGTTTTTTTGTTAACCCGGAGATTTTGAACGCATTTAAGACTGTCCGCCGGTCTTTCCGTCTAACTATAGCTGGAAATTTTTGAGCAAAAATTAAAACAAGAAAAACCAAAAATATTGGACATAACCATAAAAGCCATTTTCTTATTAAATTCTTCTCAATAAAACGTAGAAGAGGACAAATTTCATGGGTAAACTTATGTTCATCACTATTGGAAAATTTATATGAAACTTATTTCCATAAATAAACTTTGCTGACTTACATTAGGTATTGACCAGCAGGTGCATGTCGTCTAGAACTTTGAGGCTAGAAATCTTCTACTAGCGCACCCACAATTGGAAAAAACCTAAACTTGAGGCGATAAATATGCTAGAAAAGCTTTAGAATGAACAACATTTTTTAATCATTATCTGATCCGCCAGACGAGTTTTCCATAAGCACGAAAACAGCCTCAGATGCTAATGCTTTTAACACTTAAGTCTTTGAATTTATTTCTTTAATTAAATTAATTGTAATAATAATCGTAATTATCTTCTACCATATGGATCAGTGTAATCCTCAGATGCCAATGACTGGGAATTCACCTCTCTTTGCGCTACTGTTAAAATTGTCCTAGTCATGCTATCCGAAACTTAGTTACCTTCTCCTTTCTCTCTCTGCCTCTGAAACTCCAACAGGCAATAACAGTAAGCAGCCGCAATTGAGTTGATTATGGCAGGTCTGTCCTTCCATCCTTCTTAGTGGACTATTAATAATTATTATTTGATAATGTCCGTCTTTCTTGCCTTAACTTAATATAGCATTGACATTCTTCAATCTGGTATGATTTTGAAGCGAAAATTGACCTCAATTTACGTAAATGTACG